TGTGTTATCGTCTGATCTTGATATTGTAAGAGTGTTACGCGTTAAACTAATTTTTATCATACCAATGATGATTATAATACTTAATCAGTGATTGTTATAGAAAAGTGTCAAATTTTGTACACATTCCAATAACGAACACTGAATCCTTATTAATACTCAATACAAAAATCGTTCTCATAGTAGCAGAAAGCTAGATGAAATAATTTCACATGTATAGAAAGAACAGAAAATACAAATAGGTGTCTAAAATTCATTTGTTTGATTCGTTGTATGTATACGTAATAAGAAATATAAATCATCAAGTCGTATGAGGCAAATATTTTAAAGCAGCAAATTGACATCAAAATCCACAACAAAATAAGACAGAATAATACATGAATACTTAAGAAAAAAAACTAGAATTGAAATGATAAGCATATGGAAGGACATGAAAAGAAATGATTAGCAGATAAAGGAAAAAAAATCAGTTGTTAAAATTTTGAGATGAAAACCAAAAATATAACGCTCTAACATATTTAAACTTTATTTTCTCATCAAAATTTGTTCTTCAGGTCTGAAATATAAGCTCACGATGAGAATTATCCATGGATCGAAAATTGTTTAGAATTATAATTCGCTTTGTTGAATAATTTTAGAGAGGTTGTATTTGATGTAACATAAAGAAACCCATCACAGATATTTTTCTTTTATTAATCTAATTGTTTCAATGTTTTTAATAATATTAAAAGATTCTGCTATTTATTTACTCGAACATGTCACAAAAATTGCTATTCACACTTATTGGTATCGCTTTCTCATCCTTATTGATTTTTTTTTTGAGGGCTATATGTTTTTAATATTACTTTGGAAAAGTATTACTGTTGTGATATATTTCTCAATGGTATTTCTTTATGTCTTTTTTTTTGTGATACTAGGATTATAACTGGCAAGCTAGTATGTCCTAATAATGCACGTTAATAATAATTGATTTCTTTTCTTTTTGTGAATTAAGTGAGTTTTCAACTTGTTCTTCAAAAGTGATTGACACGTCTATCACTACAATAGAAGATATTTTTCCTGAATAGATTTCTAAGTTTGGTATTAAGCTGTGTAATTTTTTGTTTTGAAAAAAGAGTTCAATTATTATTGCGGATATTTAAGTTGTCCAAGGTTATATTATGTTAGACTTCATGTTCGTTTTCTTTCTGGTTCGACTCAAGATTTTGACATACGAACAGATATTCTGAAAGTACACGCTGTAGAATTTTCTCTTATACCATTGTTAATCATAAAGTTAAAAAATTGTAAGTTCTTATTTGTCCATATCTAAATAGACTAAAATAGCAAGAAATTAAGTTGGATATTGAGTTTCAGTCACTAAAAATATTTTTGATAATTGTTATAGTCGTTTACTGAGTTTTTTAAGCTAATTTTTCTGAATCTTTTAGTCTACAAGGAAAAGACACGTAACATGATTTTGAGCTATGATTATATAAAAAATAAGGCTCAGATCAAATAAAGGATTATTAAAAGATATAAAAGCAGATGAATAGTAGACAAAGAAAAGGAAATATATTAAACTATTCTGTTTTTTTGACTAAATTACTTTAAAGGATTAGAGTCTAATATAAAATTGTCTGATTATGATACCAAGAAAAAGCTCAAGAAAATTTAAGTATTAAAAAGTTTCTTTTGCTTTTTGAAAAATATTTTCTGTTATCTCTGAGTCATTTTCTACTTTTTGAGCATTAAAACATGGTGATACTGATTGCATCGTTAAAAGAGTTACTCGCATGTTTTTATTCGCTTGAAAATAACTCTTCATACTATATGAGACGCTTTCACACGTTTACAAGAAATACGTTAAGGGTTGTGTATCGATGATCATGTCACTCTATTATTGTCTTGTCTTTTCTTAGAATACTTTTCATAAGTATCGTAAGCCATTTTGATGTCTAATTAAGCTGTTATAGACAATATATATAAGTTTAAAAAATATTTTCAACTTGAGTTATGTGCTTTGAAGATGCTCAAGATGTTCGTGTGCCTTAAGACTGGTAAAATAGCGGGTAAAACTAATAAAAGCGCATGAATTTAAAATAATACTACTCGTTTCTTAACACGTTTAAATGCAGTAGAATATGTACAAGTAGCGTTACAAAACATCTTAATGGGTTGATTATCACAGTCTTGTCTGTCTGAAAACATTCCGATGCACAACAGTGTAGGAGAAAAGCTTTGTATGCCGTAGCAGCATGTTAAAGTAAAGCGAAAAAGACAGAAATGTTTTCTAGTGAGCAAGAGTATCTTTTGGTCTCACAGCAACCCGAAAGCTATTCAAAAAGTCTAATACTATAGAACATAAAGTGTGAGTGTTGATGATAAGTTTCATACTAGACATGAACGCTTAAGAGTAGGAGCGAACATCTTTGGCCAAAACAACTATTAGTAAAAGTAAGGATCAAATGTCGTGCTATGCATTAAATACTAATGGACACAGCTAAAAGCCTCTAGATCTTTCTTTCCTAATCATATTTCAACGACCAATGAAAACTGTTTTAAAGTATAATTGATATTTATGACATTTTATTCTATCACAGGATTAGCCTAGAACAAAACAATAGGTTTACCCATAGGACAAACTTGTTAGCAAAAATAAGTCTACAAAATTGAGAATCCTAAGAAGTGTTGACCGAATCATTTATGACTATTTATCAGGTAGCTTAGAAAGACATCGCATCAATACCGAAAGTTTAATTTTAACGAAGCAATAATTTTATAGTGAAAATTTGCTTAAATAGTCAAATGAGAAATATCACATATTATACTATATATGTAAATGATCATTTGTTTCACAGAATGTGGACGATATTCATGATAGAAAAATATCTAATAGAGTTCAGTTTAATTAGCACAAAAAATAAAACAGCTGTAAGATGAAGTTCATTTGAATCATTGGCTTTTGAAAGTATTCTAGGAATAGACAAGTTCTGTGAATGCCTTCGATTCTTTGAGTTCGACAGGATTTTGTAGGTCACAGAGTTTAGACAGTTCCTAAAGTCTTCCTTGACTTCTTTAATTATGGCGTAGGTGTTACTGCTAAAACGTTTTCTTTCTGGTAAACTTTTTAGTTCACATAAATTCAAGAGTTGAGAACTCAAAGAACTCAGATCAGTTTCATTGTATTTTCTTTATTAAAGACAAGACAGATTATTTTAGTCATGCATCATTCTAGAACAAACAGTGCCAAAGAGAGTCATCTAAATCCGATTAACGTCATCAACGATTGGAAGAAAATAGCTAAAAGTACACGCAAAAGATAAGAATATGTCTGGTTTTTTTGTTTATAATAGATGTGTTCATATTTAATATAAAAATCTATGCATCAATACTATTAAAAAAAACCAAAGTAACGAGAAGTAAAAATATCCATTATTGATATTTTAAGTATATAATTACATAGAGATTCATTGAAATAGTTTATTACTTCTTCTTTATTTTGTGGTCCATTTTTTTATAAATAGAACGTCAGAATGATTGAAGGTTCTTTTGTTGAAAGGTGTACGTTTATGAAAATAAGTCAAGAACGTCAATTTATCGATTGGTTTCAAGGTCGGTAAAATTTACTTACTAAGTAATACTCGTATGAGATCTGGTAATGAACTGTATACATCATCATGACGCTAATACAGATCATTAGTATCAGCTGCGTTTCACAAAAATCAGTTTAGAAAGAATTATATCGGTATGATATTCCGATTCTTGTTGTAGTAGAGATCCTAGCTAGTGTTTTATTTTAAATGTAAGGTAGAGATATGTTTAAATATTTATAGTTACCGACTTTGTAAAAATATGTTTTGAATATGATAATATCTGAAAACATTGTTACAGACTTTCCTTGCAAAATTGAAAAATAGCATATTTAATTGAAATACCTCGAAGATCATCTCCAACTTTTTCATGCCATTTGACATTGGTCGCTGGTAGCCTTCTATCTAATTGTTCTATGATGATGGTCTGGGATAGTATTGAATTTCCACTTGGGCGATGCTACATAAAATAAACCTAGCTAATTTTCTTTTCGTTCGATGATCAGCTGCAACTACAGAGACACTATGGATCTCACTAAGTTAAGTTAAAATGAACGGTTCTGGATGCTGTAGTTCTTTCTTTCCTCACTCAAAACCACACTGCATGGCTATAGCCACACACCCACAACCACACCCAATGCGTGAACGTTATATTCGTCATGAATTGACATTTGGTGAAGTTTTTGATTTTGATAATTCTTACAGCAAACCATTGATGTATTGTTCTGAAGATTTTTCGATTCAAACCTTCGAGCTGTTTCCGTTTGGTTGACGTAACAATCGAATAAATGTTGAGTATTGATGGAAGATAAGGTCTAATGAATGCATTGCATAATCGATAATTTACTTGTTCAGTCATCATACGACTACAAGCTAATTGTTTGGAAATATTCATATTGATGTGTGGATAGATCCATTACTCTTTAACACCCACACCGTAACTTTTTATAACACAATTGAATTTATTATTGCTTTCAATATCAGTGTATAGAAATCTGTCAGATTTATTAGTATTTTTTAATCAGATATGAAACAAAGGTTTATTGAGTACATGATCCGATTTGCTAGAACCAATTAAGTTTTCTGTAGAAATTGTATAAAGAGAAAAATAAGGACCATAATTTGTACGATTTTATATTAGAAATCTACACATTATTCACTGACAATGGCCAGCCTAAGCAGATTTTCTGCACATTATTCTCATGATCCTAAGTACAAAACTAAAGGATCGAAGAAATGTCATTGTTTTTGACAAAAGTGAATAGTTTGTTCTTCTATCCTTGTCAATTTCATCGTGAATACTAATACATCAATTAGTAAAACTAAAAATTTATGATTAATTTTAGATTACCAAAAATACTCATACATTCAACAACTGAATCGAATATTTAAAAGTGAAAACTTCGACCGTATTCAGTCTCGTTGTTGAACATGGCTACTGTTGTTCCACAAACGGATAATTCTCATATTGATGCCGACGATATGAGTCTTGAAATTTTCTGCCTTATCTGGCTCGATGCTAACACTAGTGTTGAAGATAATAGAGACACAGAACAAGAATTACGTTCCATCATCAATCGTCTAAAGAAATTTCAAAATGTTGCACAATGTCAAAAATATCTTGAAGAAAGTTCAGAACATAAACGATTCGTTGTGATTGTGAGTGGTCGATTAGGACTAGAAATAGTTCCTTCTATTCATAAACTTCGACAAGTTATATCAATCTACGTTTATTGTTTGAATAAGGAAAGTAACGAAGAATGGGTCAACAATTTTTCTAAAGTAAAATTAGACTGAACGGTTTCGATTATATTTTATGATTTTTGTTTCATAGGTAAAAGCTGTTATTGTTCAGCTTGATGAACTCATTTCTCGAATTCAAGATGATCATAAAATCCAGAAAATGGTCGAAGAACCATTGTCAATTAATATTTTTACCACAGATATGGGCTCAAATAAATCGACCACAGGCTTAAATGGCCAGTTTGTTTTTTCTCAAGTTCTAATTGAATGTCTTCTTCGACTCAAATATTATGAAGTAGATAAAAAAGAACTTATTCGTCGTTGTAAAAAGCAATATGAAGGTAATAGGAACGAGTTGAGCAAGATTCGTGAATTTCAAAAGGATTATTCATCCGACAAAGCTTTATGGTGGTACACAAGAGAATCATTCTTTTATAAAACTCTTAATACAGTTCTTCGTACCAAAAATATTCATCTAATGTTTTTGTTTCGCACATATATGTTAGACATTTATCATCAATTGAAAGACTTTCAAGCTAAAGATCGTCTACAACTTTATCGAAGCCAAATGATATCCAGTGATGAACTAATCAATTTGGAACAATGCTGCGGTCAATTTATTTCAGTGAATTCATTTTTTTCTACAAGTACTAATGAACAGAAAGCTCTTTCGTTCCTCAAGCGTTCTCATGTTACAGATAATTTAAAGCCAATATTATTTGAAATTATTGCCGATCCTACGGTAATTAACACAAAACCATTCGCTGATATTAGTCAACATAGCGCATTTCCTAATGAATCAGAGATACTTTTTATGCTTGGTTCTATTTTTCGTTTGGAAAGCGTTAAACGTAATAGCGATGATCAAGTATGGATAATCCGAATGGTTTTATCTAGTGATGATGAACATGATTTAAAACAAGTTCTCATGGATATGAAAGAGCAGCTTGGAGGTGGAGAAACAAATCTTCAAACTTTAGGAAGACTTTTGTCCGAGATGAGTAGATTTGATCTGGCTGAAAAATATTTTATTCGCTTTTTGAAACAACTTTCTCCTGATGACCCTTTACTTTACGATTTGTATCAAGATCTTGGAAAACTTGCATCACAGGTCAATAACCTCGACAAGAGCATGGAATGGCGTCAAAAAGCTATCACACTCAAGAAACAAAATCAATCAAAATCAAGTGAATCTGATAGTAAGTTCATTGAAAGAAAGTCAATGATCTTGAAATGAGCATCTTATATAAAAATGAATGTTTTATCATGTAAAATACGACTGCAAAAACTCAGAAGAGCGAAATCCTGGAAAATTCATAAGCGATCTTTACTAAGAAATCTCTCATTTAGCTTATAAAACAGTGACGGTTATAGTGGAATGGATAACACTGTCTACTTTCAGCTGCTCTGTTTTTCAATCTTATCTTTCCCAACAATGAGGATGTGGATGAACATAGAAATTGCACTCACACGCACACCCACATATGTACCATAACAACAGCTTTTTATAAATGCTTTTATTTTTCTTTCTTTTGAAGAATTCAGTTATGTTGAAATTTATCCGAAGAATTAGTAGCAGTGTGTTAAAATGAAAATCGTTCTTATGATTATCAATGTTCTTTATCAGATTAGTCTCTATGCATGATATCAAAAATAAAATAGTTTTAGTAAATGAACTGTTTTCCTATTTGAATTCAACAACTTACTCTAATTTACACCACAAAATATTTTTAAAATGACGAGCTGTGATCAAAACTAGCAAAACTTGTGCTATAACTACATCGTTTGTCTTATACAATTATGTTTCTTTCATTAAATAAAAACAATTTACGGGAAATTTTAATAGCATATAGTGAGTCATCATATATTGAACATAATATTGATGCAAGACAATAGTTAAAAGTTACAATAAAAAAAGGATTCGATTAAGTAATAATATCTTTCCATTTTCATATGAAAATGTCATAGATTGTGTCTTGTGAATTAGTTTTCATAATATTTTCCGAAAGGTTGCAGAACTATTCAACCTCATAATCTCTATGAAATCGTCCACTGATAGTTTTCTTGAGTTTTTCATCGTTTATATCGAGAAGTAGATCATCTTTCTTCATTTTATTTTTTTATGAAATAAATTTAAAATGCAGCTATCCAGTGCCTTTTGCACGACAGAAAAATTGAATAACTATCTCTTTTCGAATAATAACCTTTTAAATTTTACAGTATTTGTTTACAATCTTTAAAAATCAAAATATCAAAGAAGCTTTGTATCCCACATTTATTCTTTTTATTCAGAATAAGATTTGTTAAATAAATTTGATATTTCGTCTCAAATAAACCAATTTAAAAAGGTTGGGAAACATCAATAGCTTGGCTAGGGCAGAATAAAATAAATCTTATATATCTATGCTAAGTTATGTTTAACTTAAATTGAAGTTTGGTTGAGTCTAAGGAGTTATACAGTTCGCAATTATTTTCAATCGAAATCTAATTTTTTATTAGCGAGCTCCGATCAAAAGAAAAATGAAAAGCTCATCAAACTTACATTTATTTGAGTATAATTTTTCAAAGATGCTTATTTGTATTCGAGTCTGATTTGGTGAATTGATGATATTTTCAGTATCTGAATATATTATCTTGTTAAATTTTCTTGATTTATGCTGAACCAAAAAATATTAAGGAGCTTTTAGTTCATTTACTTCCTATGGTTGAATAACACATGTTGTCTCTCGGAACCTGATACGTGAAAAATGATTATGTTGACTTATTTCTTCATTGAAATATTTTTCCAACATCGTTTCCTAATGTCGACGCAACAGAACTCAATCCTTTCAAAATAGAAATATGAGTCAGTGAGAAGGGTATGAGTATGGGCGTGAGTGCAGTTGTTCCCTTCAACCATAGCCACACCTTCGTGTGTATTGATATAATCATTGAAACTCTAGAGTCTATGATATATTCTGATCATGATCTTTATGTTTGACTAGAGGTTGTTGAACAACTAATCTATCATAGCAACATCAATACGCAAGAAATACTAGAACAGATGAAACAGATGAAGCAGGTGAAGCAGGTGGTAGCTCAGATGTATGAGTTACACGAGTTTACCAAACCGCGCTTCTTTTTTATTTTACCGGCGGGACATTGTGACATGCAGCTGATCAACAACGCACAGAAGTGGTTTGACATCCGTTATAAACTTTACTTTTTATGTGAATGTTCACAAGAGCCTGAAGAAATGCACGTTGCGCCCCATGCTGGTTATTTAATTAGACAACCGAGAGATTTTGTTGAAAGATATGGACCATATTTAAAAACAATTTCAAATATTGTTCAATTTTTACTCTCTGTCGGATGCTTAGTCATTCCACAGTTGGAAAATTCAGCAACTATTTTCAGTAGTACATTATCGTCGCAATCTAACACTTCTGAATACTACGGTCGCATAAAACAACAACTAAGATTGGTGGACGTTTTAATCAATAAATTTCATAACAAACAAACTTATCCAAGTTCTTCAATAGTTGAAATGGAAGAATCAAAGAGAATTGTACTTCAGGGCGCAAAATTACAAGAACTTGAAGCATATCTAGATCTTGTCGACAGTAAATGTAGTCTAGGAAACTTGTACCGAAAAGTCACTGTCGACGGTCATATTCGCTGGCTTTGTTCCAAACACTACGACGACATGCGTTTCAACAATGAAATACGTAAATATATTAATGACTTTGAAGCTATGGGAGGTAAATTTAATCAGACAAGCAATGAAGCAATTATAAGTGATGCGAAGATGACAAGCAAAAACGTTAAGATGTTGTGTGAAGCACTTACATATGGTTTTAATATTGTGAAGCTAATTATTGAAGGATGTTCGTTCTCTAAGGATGATCTTGACAGATTGCTTGATATTGTGATGAATCGTTCTTCGATCCGTTCTCTCAAAATGATCACTGTTCGTGTTTACAATCGTCTTCGAATATTAAAGTATACCTGCCAAAATATAGTCATAGAGTTCAATAATCAGTCTTTGAAAGTTCGCTTTTACGATACCTACCAAGACGGGAATAAGTCGATGTTCATTCAACTTTTATTGCAAAACAAGATACATCGAAAACTGAATTTCTCTGCGCATGATTTTCGCTGGCATGAAGATGATCTTCGGAAATGTCTTGAAGTCAACAGAATTGTCACAGGACTGACTGTGGAGTACCCTAACAACATCGATCTGCTGAATACCATATTTAATTTGAAAACAAACGCATTGTATCAACTAAAACTGACTCCCTCTCTACACGAGCCCTCAACATTCCATTTCTGTGAACTGTTGAAGACAAATAAAACGCTAGTTGAAATTGATCTTATGGACGAGACTGGTTTCGAAGACGATGCTTGCGTTGCTAATCTTCTGCACACGTTGAGAAATCATAAGTCAATCAAATATCTTAGCCTACATGTTCAAGATATACGGCCATCGAATCAGAAAGAAACTAGTTTGATAAAATCACTGAGAAAGGATGAATTTATTTCACACCTTTGTGTATCCACGTCTGTTGTCTCACGTGAACTTACAGAAGCATTCATTCATGCTGCTAAAGAACGTCATAAATTGACTTATCTGAAGTTTTATAAGAGTCAATTGGCAGCCGATGATATAGCACAACTGAAGTCATTGCATAATGATGGAAGTTTGATTCAACTATCATTCTATGAGCAACCACGTTGGCGTGTGATGCTTGGTGCAACGAACGAACCACTGAGCAAAGGTAGGAACTTGAAGAAGTCTAAATCGTTCAAGAGAAATGAGAATGGTTCAGAATCGGAGCAGCAAATTCACAGATACTAAACAATCCTAATTTCTCGTAGATGTTCATTTGCAATTTGATAATCGGGGTACTTCTAAACACAGTCGTACTCTACGAAAAATGGATATCCTTCCCGTATGTTGGAAACAAAAGCTCGCTTTACTTAACAATAAATTCCAATTTTTAGTGTTTCAGTATTTATAGAAAGTTCTGAGTGAAGAAGTGAGATGAAGTTTTTTTTTTCGAGAAGTATTTATTTTCGTTTCTCTTTTAATAAATTTAAACGAGTTTAACGCAGTTTTCTTGGATAGAACTGGATATCATTATAAGATCAAAACCTATTTTAAGTCATAGGGCAAGGTTCGTGCTACGAAACTGTATACTTGGCTACAAATATTCTAACAAGCTTTTTACTAAATTATCAATTGTCATCACAAAAAAATTATATGAAATACTTGAAGCATCTGGAGCCAAATGGTGGTGTTTCTTCATACATTCAGTGTAAAAACCAGTCACAAGAAAAAAATCCAAATACTTAAGTTGAATTTTCTAAGGATTCAAAACTAGAATTAAATAAATTGTTGTCTCATGATTTAGAATTTCGGTATATCTTCGAAGAAACATCACTACTTGACTCGATATGACTCATATATTTTATCTTGTTCTGACAAAAAAAACCATTGAGGACAAAACCCGAAAATTATTTCAAAATTTCTTAAAACCTTTCAGGTTTGAAAGCATATGAAGATCTGTTACTGAATTTGAATGATTTTACTGATATTTTATTTGTATTCGAAACAGAAGATTCAATCTAAAACTACATATCAAGCTTCATCTTCAGATGGAGTAGTTCATCTGGAATTAGGATAAAATATCAGTGAAATTATTAAACATCAGTGTAACAAATTCATTTGCTAACGAATAATAGACTGATTTTACCGATTTTTAAAAAGAACTGTTTATAAAATTTTGTATCCGACGGTTTTTCTGGTAGCATAGAATTCATGTGCCTCTGTTCAGTCGTTCATCTTGGAATGCATTAAAATTTTGGAGTATTACACATTAAATAAAATAATTTCGTTTATAGATTACAGAGCGAAAAAAATGGTTGAGAATAATCTACATACATTTTGAGCTACATGCACGAATAAGCCATTGTATTTACAGGTTAGAATTAGCTTTGTATATGTTCGCATTTGAAGGAAGGAGACAACGTAAATATTTTTCGTTTAATAGCTTAGAATCAATGCGACATGGTTTAATTCTTATCACCAATCGTAAGATATCGTAAATGAGACGATTATACACGATCGCTTATAAAAATTTTCGGTAAACTTTAGAAAAAATATATATTATTGAATTCCCTTTTGTATACATGAATAAGTTATATGGTTTGGTAGTTTTCGGCAAAAAAACAAAACAAGGGCTAATCTCTTATTTAGTTTGATCTTTCACGATAAAATTTGTAATTCGAATTAATTCGATATAAAAAATAGTTTGATTATTGTTATTGATCATCTTAAATGTGCATCCGTACACTATTCAGTCGATGTAAACTACAGGCAATTGTTTTTCTTAGATATGAAATAAGTATCAAAATTCTAACTTTTGAGTGATTTGGTATTCAAAAAAAAACCTATAGTTTTTGGATATTTTACAAAGAATCGGATCAAAAACTTTTCTTCTGAACAGTTTTTCACATTTAAAAGCTTTGCTCAAGAAAAATCAGCCGGTTAGATTTGAGATAAATATTGATTTGGTAACTTACTCAAAAACTGAGTACAACTATATATAAGAGAAATTTTCTCTTTCTCCGCTGTTCACATGATATCCTGTTATTTCCAGCAAATAGTTTTACACTTTTCTTCAATCATCACTTGTCTTGAAATAAACAAAGAGCAAAACTGAAATGAACTCGCGTGAATAAATCAACTTTAAAAGCAGAAATGTTATTCTATTAGAGACAAGAAGCACTTAAATAAAACTGAGAAAGTCATATAAAAGAAGATGAAAGACATTTTGTCCATAAGCTAATCTTAAATATTGCCTTGATTATAATGATCGTTTTGCTTCAGATTAAGGAAAAACAGTGCCCTT